GTCTCGCCAAATCGTGTCAAACGCTTTTTCAAAGTCGACAAATGCACAAAATAATTTTTTCTTTTTAAATTTTAAAATTTCAAACAAAGAATGAATTACAAATAAATTATCAATTGTTGAATAACCCTTTCTAAAACCACATTGGTTTTCGTTTAAAATCACAAATTCTTCAGAGAAAAGATTTAGTCGCTCGCATAAAATTGCGGTAAAAAGTTTCCCCATACAACTCAAAATGGTAATAGGTCTAAAATTTTTGGGGTCCAACTTGCTACCTTTATTTTTATAAACAGGCTTAATGTAACCAATTAACCAACTGTCAGGAATAATACCAGTGCAAAATATAACGTTAAACAATTTTTCGTATAATTCATTGAATAAGCCAGATGTCGACTTGATATATTCATTTATTATATGATCATCCCCAAATGCTTTATCTTTCTTAAGGTTTTTTATGCCCTTAAGAATTTCGTCTTTTGAAATTATCTTGTTTAAATTTTCATTAAGCTTGTCAACATCATTCGGGTTTAGAGTTGAAATATTTGTATTTTCTTGATCATCTGGGGCGGCGTTCAAGTTTTTGAAAAAATCGAACAATTTAGTAATGGGGATGTCGGGTTGGTCTCTTTTTTTTCTACTGTTTAATAATTTCCAATACTCGTTTGAGTTATTGGATCTCAATATGTTTATTTTTTTAGCCATTTTTTTTTCTATGTGCAGTAATTGCTTTATCTAAAGTCTTTTTATATAATTTCTCCGAAGATTTCATAATTTGGCAGTTTTGTTCTGATCTATTGTTCTTAAATTTTCTTTTGAGCTTGCGATAATGTTGGCGAGCAAATTTAGTCACTGTCAAACCATTCTTTATCTAATTTTACTGGCTTGTTTTAGATTTCTTCGAACCTCTAGTTCTAGTAACCCCAAATGTTGCCTTGGCAGAGTCCAAAAATAAGTCACACATGTTATTAACAATAATGTTCAGTTCATTTTTATTCATATTTGCTTCAACTTTATCAATTTCTTCAATTAGAGCATAAACCCCTTCCACATCTATCCCATTTTGAAAATCCAAAGTTTTATCATTATCCCACTTTTTGATATTTTCTGGACGGTTACATGTATCTGATCCAGCATTTAAACACTGATTTCTTTCAACATCTTGTTTAGTGCTCGCCAAAGTTATCTCTACTGGGGAATGAACATCAGAATATAAAGTAGAAAAATCAAGTACATGAAAATTAGTAAAATATTTTAACAACTCAGCACTACTAATACAATAATCTATATTACTGCTATTTCTACATGTTAATTTACCATACTGTCTATCATCGCCAATTCGACCATTTACAATAAATAAATTGTTTCCTTTGCATAAATCTAACAATCGTTTCCCGTATCCATTTTTTACCCCGTCCAAAGACTTTCTTTTCTTTGGAATATTAAATTCATCAAGCATATACACTTTATTTTCTATAAAATCTGTTATATTATTTGTATGTTTATCATTATGTATAATAACAAAATCGTCATCGTCTGCTGTTCGTCCGTTAAAATCTCCTAGTAATGACACATATTTATAAGTATTAGAAAAAATAATGTATTCATTTTCTAACTGACTGTAAGCATCTTGAGATGAGTAATTTGTGTATTCCGGAGGAATATATACTATGCCAAAAACTATATCATCGTCAATACTAAGTAAATCTGATAAAACTTTGAACCAAAGAACAAACTGACTGTCAGTTGTTAACACTTTTATTTTATTTGCTATTTCTAATTTGTATCCTAAAGTATCCCCCCTGACCTATTTCTTGACACTTTCTTTCTATTTTTCATTTTGAATTCATAACCTGGTAAATCAATAATATCTATATCGTCAGTTTTTTTTTCAACTAAACAAATTATATCGTTATTATTTAACAATGACTGAAATTCAGGGTAGTTCAATCTTTTTTTAACACCTCAACAATTTAGACACAAAATATTGATATCACTTCTAATATGAACATTTTTGAAAGTTTTTAAAGAATCATTACAGTTCAAATTTACATCTGTTAAATTTTGGTCATGCTCTCCGTGGCATTCCTATAGGTGAGTTGATTCACTACTTGGGCTTGACCCAGATCTTTGTCGTTTGTGAGGTCGACCGTTAGTATTTTCTGGGGTCATCATTACGTCTCTAAACCCTCCATTCGAATGCACTCTGTGCTGGTCATCTATACTGGTATTAGTTTGTTCTGTGAATACGAATTTAGTAAAGTATAATTGTAATTTAATTAATTACATTTCAAAAACTGTGTAATTTTTATTAATTAGTGTAATTGATCATTTTTGCAATGTAATGTGTAATTAATTAATTACATTTCAATGTAATTGACCCCAAGTCTGACTTATACACAAAGCTTATTAACCCAAACATTGATTAAAGTTGAATTTGGATATTGTCACTTTTACTGTTCTTGAGTTGTGTCTATTTACAAATGGAAAAATTGCTGTATTTTCTGTTCCCTTACTTTAGTTTGCCTCAAACAAATGTTATGAAACTTAATGCTTATTACCACAAAACTCAGGTCCAGTCTGACATTTGTTGGCGTCAATTTTACTGTTCTAGAGTTATGCTCCTCACAAGTGGAAAAACTGCTGAATTTTTAAACGACTGCAAAAAAAAATTTTGCTGTCGTATATTGGTATGACTTTGTCGTCGTTGTTGTCCGAAGACAGTCACACATTGGGTTTCGCACTTTAACTTAAGTTTAAGTGAATGGATCTCTATGAAATTTTACCATAAGGTTCAATACCACAAAAGGAAGGTTTGGGATTGATTTTGGGGGTTATGGTACCAACAGTTAAGGAATTGGGGGCCAAAAATAAGCATTTTTGTAACTTCCAGACACAACTTGTGTGTTAGTGTATGGATCTCTCTGACATTGTACCACAAGGTTCCATATCACAAAGGGAATGCTGGGATTGATTTTGGGGGTAATTGCCTCCAAATTTTAGGAATTAGGGGCCAAAAAGGGGCAAAAAACAAGCATTTTTCTAGTTTCATGACAATAACTTGTGTGTAAGTGTATGGATCTCTCTGACATTGTACCACAAGGTTCCATATCACAAAGGGAAGGCTGGGATTGATTTTGGGGGTAATTGCCTCCAAATTTTAGGAATAAAGGGCCAAAAAGGGGCAAAAAACAAGCATTTTTCTAGTTTCATGACAATAACTTGTGTTCAAGTGTATGGATCTTTATGAAATTGTACTACAAGGTTCCATATCCCAAAGGTAAAACTGGAATTGAGTTTGGGGGTAATTGCCCAAAACATTTAGGAATAAGGGGTCAAAAAGGGGCCAAAAATAAGCATTTTTCTAGTTTCCAGACAATAACTTGTGTTCAAGTGTATGGATCTTTCTGAAATTGTACTGCAAGGTTCCATACCAAAAAGGGAAGGCTGGGATTGATTTTGGGGGTAATTCCCTCAAAATTTTAGGAATAAGGGGCCATAAACTGGCAAAAAAACCAAGCTATTTTCTAGTTTCAGGACAATAACGAGTGTGTAAGTGTATGGATCTTTATGAAATTGTACTGTAAGGTTCCTTATCACAAAGGGAAAGCTGGGTTTGAATTTGGGAGTAATTGCCCTAAACGTTTAGGAATTTGGGGCCAAAAAACAAGCATTTTTCTAGTTTCCAGACAATAACTTGTGTTCAAGTGTATGGATCTCTCAGAAATTGTACTGCAAGGTACCATACCACAAAGGGAAGGCTGGGATTGAATTTGGGGGTGATGAATCATAAGGGGCTTCAAAAATTTGCAGGGGGGGGGGGGGGGGGGGGAATTTTTTTTTCCTTTTTTTTTCACTAAAATTTTCCATTTTAAATTGGTTATTTCTGATTTATATATAAAAGCAAATAATAATGATATGGTTTGAATAGGTAAATTAAAATTTTTTAAGTTCTTAGACCACATTCGATCTGTGTCAGAAACCTATGCTGTGTCAAATATTTAATTACAATCCAAATTCAGTGCTGTATCAAGCTTGAATGTTGTGTCCATACTTGCCCCAACTGTTCAGGGTTCGACCTCTGCGGTCGTATCAAGCTGCGCCCCAGCGGAGCATTTTATTCTAGTTTCCAGACAATAACTTGTGTTCAAGTGTAAGGATCTCTCTGAAATTGTACTACAAGGCACCATACCACAAAGGGAAGGCTGGGATTGATTAAAGGGGTAATTGCCTCAAAATTTTAGGAATTAGGGGCCAAAAAGGGGCAAAACAACAAGCATTTTTCTAGTTTCAGGACAATAACTTGTGTGAAAGTGTATGGATCTTTATGAAATTGTACTACAAGGTTCAATATCACAAAGGGAAAGCTGGGTTTGAGTTTGGGGGTAATGTAATTGCCCTAAACGTTTAGGAATTTGGGGCCAAAAACAAGCATTTTTCTAGTTTCCAGACAATAACTTGTGTTCAAGTGTATGGATCTCTCTGAAATTGTACTGCAAGGTACCATACCACAAAGGGAAGGCTGGGATTGAGTTTGGGGGTGATGAATCATAAGGGGGTTCAAAGAATTGGCGGGGGGGATTTTTTTTTTCCTTTTTTCCCTTTTTTTTTCTCTAAAATTTTCCATTTTAAATTGGGTATTTCTGATTTATATATAAAAGCAAATAATAATGATATGGTTTGAAAAGGTAAATTAAAAATCTTTAAGTTCTTATACCACATTCATTCTGTGTCAGAAACCTATGCTGGGTCAAATATTTAATCACAATCCAAATTCAGTGCTGTATCAAGCTTGAATGTTGTGTCCATACTTGCCCCAACTGTTCAGGGTTGGACCTCTGCGGTCGTATCAAGCTGCGTCCAGCGGAGCATTTTATTCCCTTTTGTTCTCTAACTTAAGTATGCCATAACCAAATGTTATGAAACTTATACACAATTCTTACTACAAAACTCAGATTAAGTACAAATTTGGGTAGTGTCCCTTTTTATACGACCGCAAAAAAATTTTTGTGTTTGTATATTGGTATGACGTTGGCGTCGTCGTCGTCGTCCGGCGTCGTCGTCGTCATCCGAAGACACATTAGTTTTCGCACTCTTACTTTAGTTTAAGTGAATGGATCTCAATGAAATTTTACCATAAGGTTCAATACCACAAAAGGAAGGTGGGGATTGATTTTGGGGGTTATGGTACCAACAGTTAAGGAATTAGGGGCCAAAAATAAGCATTTTTGTAACTTCCAGACATAACTTGTGTGTAAGTGTATGGATCTCTCTGACATTGTACCACAAGGTTCCATATCACAAAGGGAATGCTGGGATTGATTTTGGGGGTAATTGCCTCCAAATTTTAGGAATTAGGGGCCAAAAAGGGGCAAAAAACAAGCATTTTTCTAGTTTCATGACAATAACTTGTGTGTAAGTGTATGGATCTCTCTGACATTGTATCACAAGGTTCCATAACACAAAGGGAATGCTGGGATTGATTTTGGGGGTAATTGCCTCAAAATTTTAGGAATTAGGGGCCAAAAAGGGGCAAAAAACAAGCATTTTTCTAGTTTCATGACAATAACTTGTGTGTAAGTGTATGGATCTTTTTGAAATTGTACAACAAGGTTCCATATCACAAAGGGAAAGCTGGAATTGAGTTTGGGAGTAATTGCCGAAAAAGTTTAGGAATAAGGGGCCAAAAAGGGGCCAAAAATAAGTATTTTTCTAGTTTCCAGACAATAACTTGTGTTCAAGTGTTATGGATCTCTCTGAAATTGTACTGCAAGGTACCATACCACAAAGGGAAGGCTGGGATTGATTTTGGGGGTAATTCCCTCAAAATTTTAGTAATTAGGGGCCATAAAAGGGCAAAAAAGCAAGCATTTTTCTAGTTTCAGGACAATAACTTGTGTGTAAGTGTATGGATCTTTATGAAATTGTACTGCAAGGTTCCATATCACAAAGGGAAAGCTGGGTTTGAGGTTAGGGGTAATTGCCCTAAAATTTTAGGAATTAGGGGCCAAAAAAGGGGCAAAAAACAAGCATTTTTATATGGACAAATACTTTAGTACAAAACATAATTTAAAGCAGTGTAAGGGAGATAAATCAAATACATCATTTGAATTACCTACAGTGTAAGGGAGGTAATCCACATACAACGTTTTGATTACTTCCCTTACACTGCTTTTAGATTATGTTTAAAGAAATGCATATTTATAAAGGAAGACCAGTAAAAATATCTGCAAATGTTGCATCTTTTTTTTTTACAAAAAAATCCATATGAAAGATTTGACACCATATTTTAAATTCTATTATTAAATAGATTAAGTTAGCACTATGGTAAATTTAAATGGGTAATTATGGTTGCAAATTCCATTGGAAATTTGAATTGAGATTATGACCATATCTTGAGGGAAAGAATTTTTTGGGGGAAAAGGGGTGGGGGGAAAGGGGGGGGGGGGGGGGGTAAAAAGAAATTGTGGGGGGGGGGGGGGTCAATTTTTTCTCATTCAGATTTCAGAAATTAAAAAGAATTATTCTTCAAATATTATTTTTTTTTTTCAAATTTCAAATAATGAAAAATTTCAAGAAGTAATCTTTAATTGCACAGTATGGCGCATTAGATTTGTAAAATCTTTGACCACATTTATTTATTTGTTATGCCAAATCTGACCGTGTATTTAGATTTTTAATTTTGGGTCCAGTTTTCAAATTGGTCTACATTAAGGTCCAAAATGTCCAAAATTAAACTTAGTTTGATTTTAACAAAAATTGAATACATGGGGTTCTTTGATATGCTGAATCTAAACATGTATTTAAATTTTTGATTTCGGGCCCAGTTTTCAAGTTGGTCCTAATTGGGGGTCCAAAATTAAACTTTGTTTGATTTCAACAAAAATTGAATATATAGGGTTCTTTGATATGCTAAATCTAACCATGTATTTAGATTTTTTATTTGTGGGCCCCGCTATCAAATTGGTTCATATTGAGGTCAAAAGGGTCCAAAATTAAACTTTGTTTTATTTCATCAAAAATTGAATTATTGGGGTTCTTTGATATGCCAAATCTAACCGTGTATTTAGATTTTTAATTTTGGGTTCTGTTTTTTAAATTGGTCTACATTAAGGTCCAAAGGGTCAAAAATTAAACTTAATTTGATTTTAACAAAAAATGAATTCTTGGGGTTCTTTGATATGCTGAATCTAAACATGTGTTTAGATTTTTGATTATGAGCCCAGTTTTCAAGTTGGTCCAAGTTGGGGTCCAAATTAAACTTTGTTTGATTTCAACAAAAATTGAATATATGGGGTTCTTTGATATGCTGTATCTAACCATGTATTTTGATTTTTGGACCCCGTTATCAAATTGGTCTACATTTAGGTCAAAAGGGTCCAAAATTAAACTTTGATTTATTTCATCAAAAATTGAATTATTGGGGTTCTTTGATATGCCAAAATCTAACCGTGTATTTAGATTTTTAATTTTGGGTCCAGTTTTCAAATTGGTCTACATTAAGGTCCAAAGGGTCCAAAATTAAACTTAAGTTTGATTTTAACAAAAATTGAATATATGGGGTTCTTTGATATGCTGAATCTAAACATGTATTTAGATTTTTGATTTTGGGCCCAGTTTTCAAGTTGGTCCAAATTGGGGTCCAAAATTAAACTTTGTTTGATTTCAACAAAAATTGAATATATGGGGTCCTTTGATATGCTGAATCTAACCATGTATTTTGATTTTTGGGCCCCGTTATCAAATTGGTTCACATTGAGGTCAAAAGGGTCCAAATTTAAACTTTGTTTGATTTCATAAAAAATTGAATTCTTTGGATTCTTTGATATGCTGAATCTTGGATTTTGGATATTGGACCATAATAGGTAAATTAAAAAAAATTAAGTTCTTAGACCACATTCATTCTGTGTCAGAAACCTATGCTGTGTCAAATATTTAATCACAATCCAAATTCAGAGCTGTATCAAGCTTGAATGTTGTGTCCATACTTGCCCCAACTGTTCAGGGATTGACCTCTGCGGTCGTATCAAGCTGCGCCCAGCGGAGCATTTTATTGATCACATGTAAATGGTCAAGATCCCCACCCTGAAACCATATATATTCTTGTATGGGATAATAAAACAAATAAAATGAAATATAGGGGAAGTCCAAGGGGGTAACCCCCACCCCCCTTCTTTTTATACGACCGCAAAAGTTAAAATGTTTTTGGTCGTATATTGGTATCACGTTGTCGTCGTCGTCGTCAGCGTTGTCCTAGGACAGATGGTTTCCGGATAATAACTTTAGTATAAGTAAATAGAAATCAATAAAATTATAAAACACAAAAAGGAAGGTTGGGATTAATTTTGGGGGTTATTGTACTATAGGTTTAGGAATTAGGGGCCAAAAAAAGGGGCCCAAATAAGCATTTTTGCAGTTTCCAAACAATAACTTGTGTTCAAGTGTATGAATCTCTCTGAAATAGTACCACAAGTTTCCATACAACAAAGGGATGGTTAGGGAAGGGGGGGGGGGGGGGGTTATGGCTCAAACCATTTAACAATTAGGGGCAAAAAAGGGGGATATCAAGGGTTTTTCTGGTTAAAGGACAATTTAGACAATTTAAAAGTAGTGTAAGGGAAGTAATCCAAATCAATTTTAAAGAATAATGTTTGATTACCTCCCTTACACTGCTTGTAAATTATGTATTAAGAAATGATGATTGTCTTGAGATGATTAGCTGTAAATTTATTTTTAGAAGTTACTATTAATAAATATTAATTTTAACCATGACTGTATGTCATTTTATATTTTAATATTTTATGATGTATTTAAATGAGTAGTTATGGTTGCAAACTCCATTAGAAATTTGAATTGAGATTATTTTTGGAATAAGGTAAAGGGTGTCAGAAACCTAGTATGTGTCAAATATTTAATTACAATCCAAATTCAGACCTGTATCGAGCGCGAATATTGTGTCCATTTTTGCCCCAACTGTTCAGGGTTGGACCTCTGCGGTCGTATCAATCTGCGCTCAGCGAAGCATTTTATTGAAAACTTGTAAATGGTCGAGATCCCCACTCCAAAACCATATATATTCTATGGGACAATGAAACAAATCAAATGAAATTTAGGGGAAATCCCCTGGGGTGACCCCCACTCCCTTCTTTTTAAAAACTTGTAAACGGTCAAGATCCCCACCCCGAAACCATATATATTCTTGTATGGGACAATAAAACAAATCAAATGAAATAAAAGGCGAGTCCCCTGGGGTCACCCCCACCCCTCCTGTTTAAGAACTTGTAAACGGTTGAGATCCCCACCCCTAAACCATATATATTCTTGTATGTGACAAAAAAAACAAATCATATGAAATAAAGGGTGAGTCCCCTGGGGATCACACACCCCCTTTTGAGAACTTGTAAACGGTCTAGATCTCCAACCCTTAACAACCATATATATTCCTGTTCGTCATTTCAAGAAGATTTGAATGACATACAGGGTCAACCCATAGGCGTCACTTATGCATATCACAAACCAATTTGTACTGGACTTTGCCCAATGTCAGGCGACCATGGGAATGACGAATTATTGGAGCTTCGTTTGGGAGACTTCGTAACAGCATCCTGTTACAATTATTTCTTGTTACTGATAAGTTTTATAGATTTTGAAAAGACATTGTATGAATGATAAATAAGATTTTGGATTTTTTCCTTCTTTTCTTTGATGAATTGTTTGAAGAATTTTGTGGCAAGTTTGTTTGTTATTCTGTAAAAACTAATCTTTTGAATGCTATATATTTTTTTTTGAAGAAGTGAACTCCTTTAAAAACTAAGCTTATATTGTTTATTAATAAACATATATTTAGATTTCTGATTTTGGGCCCAGTTTTCAAGTTGGTCCAAATTGGGGTCCAAAATTAAACTTTGTTTGATTTCAACAAAAATTGAATATATGGGGTCCTTTGATATGCTGAATCTAACCATGTATTTTGATTTTTGGGCCCCGTTATCAAATTGGTTCACATTGAGGTCAAAAGGGTCCAAATTTAAACTTTGTTTGATTTCATAAAAAATTGAATTCTTTGGATTCTTTGATATGCTGAATCTTGGATTTTGGATATTGGACCATAATAGGTAAATTAAAAAAAATTAAGTTCTTAGACCACATTCATTCTGTGTCAGAAACCTATGCTGTGTCAAATATTTAATCACAATCCAAATTCAGAGCTGTATCAAGCTTGAATGTTGTGTCCATACTTGCCCCAACTGTTCAGGGATTGACCTCTGCGGTCGTATCAAGCTGCGCCCAGCGGAGCATTTTATTGATCACATGTAAATGGTCAAGATCCCCACCCTGAAACCATATATATTCTTGTATGGGATAATAAAACAAATAAAATGAAATATAGGGGAAGTCCAAGGGGGTAACCCCCACCCCCCTTCTTTTTATACGACCGCAAAAGTTAAAATGTTTTTGGTCGTATATTGGTATCACGTTGTCGTCGTCGTCGTCAGCGTTGTCCTAGGACAGATGGTTTCCGGATAATAACTTTAGTATAAGTAAATAGAAATCAATAAAATTATAAAACACAAAAAGGAAGGTTGGGATTAATTTTGGGGGTTATTGTACTATAGGTTTAGGAATTAGGGGCCAAAAAAAGGGGCCCAAATAAGCATTTTTGCATTTTCCAAACAATAACTTGTGTTCAAGTGTATGAATCTCTCTGAAATAATACCACAAGTTTCCATACAACAAAGGGATGGTTAGGGAAGGGGGGGGGGGGGGGTTATGGCTCAAACCATTTAACAATTAGGGGCAAAAAAGGGGGATATCAAGGGTTTTTCTGGTTAAAGGACAATTTAGACAATTTAAAAGTAGTGTAAGGGAAGTAATCCAAATCAATTTTAAAGAATAATGTTTGATTACCTCCCTTACACTGCTTGTAAATTATGTA